CTCCTATTCTTTTTGTGGATACAGACTGACACGGCTGCTACTCTGAAACCTGTTCATCCCTGCTGTAGTTCTACTGCAATGAAATTACACCAGGAATGAACTTGGCCCTGTCTCACTCCCCATCCATGAAAAAAAAAATTAAAAACACCATAAAAGGGGGACTTAGTACTTGCTTATCAAGCATTAATGTCACGATTAGATGCACTGTCTTCAAGCTCACCCAGTGCTTGGCCAAGACCAATGCGTAGATGGAGAACCACTAGTCAAATCTGAACCCAAGCATGATTGAGGTTGTGTCAGTGGACAAAGGAAGACATTTTGAGGCGTCTGCAGCTACAGTGTAGTCTCTTTCGGTTGAGAATACACATCCACAACTGGTCAGTTGAGTCAGTAGTTTAGGAGTACTATTGGATGTTCTGTTGATGCTGAGCTCTCACACAGTAACTATTCTACCTGGCCTAAATTATACATGTTTTTATCACCTTCCAACTGGACTGCAGGAATACTAGCATTGTGCAGCATGGTTACCATGAGCACATCAAACCTGTCCTCCATTCACAACATTCACTTCCCAGAGAATATCAAGTCAAATTTAAGGCCTCAGTCTTTATCTTCAAGGCTGTCAATGGCCCAAACCTAAATGGTTACCTAAAAGATTGATCAAGGACAATGACCATGATCAACAACTCCACTTCTCAAGCATTGTGGAGCTTACTCCAGGGAAAAGATCATGTATGCCAGAGACAGAGTTTAGTCGGTGCTAGTCCAAGAGTAAACTCCCACAGGAGCTCCTACAGGAACTAAGAACCACCAAAGATCTTGTTGCATTCTGTTTATACTGCAAAGTGCATTTCTGTGACTTTGTCTTCAACAATAAAACATGTAACACATTAGACATAAGATACAAAGGGAAGGGAAAAGAAAGAAGAACGCGTGACAGATCCTAGTCACATCAGTTAATGCACTTCTGGAAGGCACTCGGTGATGGGAATAGTAAAAGAACCTGAAGAGAATAGAACAGAATCTCTTTTCCCAGGCTTTTGCCTGAGGCATGAAGGTTGGGATCATTAGACTGATATTACCTTCTTTCTGAAGAATGTGGATTCTTCTTTTGTTGTGTTTGTTTAGTATAAAACAAAAAAGTATATACACACACATGAAATTGGCAGCATTTTAGAAACCTAAAATTGAATCTAATATATGCTGAACTAAATGCTATTTTGTTGTCACTCAGTGACATACTCAGAAAGTTGGTGGTTGTTTAAAGTCTACTATGTTACAAATCTGAAACTAAACACCTGTACGAGATAGTTCAACTAAAAATAGAAATTACCTACCTCAGTGAAGGGTTTCCATGAGGGGAAGATATTTCCTATTAATATACTAAGATACATGTGGCTTAGTTTAATCTTGTGAAGAAGATATACAGTCCAAAGAACGGAGCTCTGAATTTGAGGCAATGGAGCATGTTGAAATGTCACAAGAAAGCTAATGTGCCAGTTAAAATATTACATTTGAGAAAGAGATATATTTTGTAAGTCTCCTATAACAGTTGTGTAAAATGTATTCATTAAAGAGTTGGTGAAATCCTAGCCCCATTGAAGTCAATGGCAGTTTTGCCATTGACTTTAATAGGTCAGGATTTCACTAATAGTGCCTTACATTTTCAAAAAGTGACTACTTATTTTGGGTGTTTCAGTTGTTGGTTGCCCATCTGGAGACACCTTAAAGAGGGCTGATTTTTCAGAGGTGGGTGTGCAGTAATTTCTGATTGCAACATTTTCTGGAAATCAGGCCCCTTTAAGGCATCTCAAGTTGGGCACCAAAAACCTGCAGCACTCAAAATCATTAGTCACTTTTGAAGATGCAGGCTATAACAGCTGTAGTTAGGAGTTGTGTGAACAATTTACAATTAATATTATTTGCCCTTTTCAGGTTTCCAAAGTTTCTGCAATCAGAAAATGATTTTTATAAACGTGTTTGCTATTTGCAACATTTTGGCAAATATTCTGTGTGAAGAAATTTCAGCCTGTTGATTGCTCATGGGCTAGGCACCATGAGAATTCAATATTTGCCAGTCACTTACTTGGTCATTTAAGTTACTTTGTATTGTTCTGTTCCCTAACTGCATGACCTTCCAACCCATAAACCAACAAAGACATTTCAAGAAGGCCAAGCAAACATTTTCAGTGTGAATATCCCTGCCAATATACATTCCCATGAATATTTGCAGTAGTACTCATGACACTGCATACAAAAATATGCTTGTAAATATATATATGGGAAGTGAGTAAATGG